TGATCCAGGCTAAAGTAGGCTAGAGCATCACAACGCGAGATGGCATGGCGACCCTACGCGGTGGCCTACGCGAGCCGCCAGCACGGCACGCCCAATGGAAACGCGGGCGCTTACGCGCGACCTCACGCGGGCAGCTTACGCACGAATGCCGGCGCAGCCCGCCCCGTTCCCTTCCGTCGCTCACCTGGCCGATGACGCCCAGTGGCCCAGGGATCGGCGGTCGGGGACCGGGGCCAATCCAGACCTGGGTCAGTCAGGCCCTGCAGAATCCTGCAAGATCCTGGAAGACCCTGCGCCCAGACCTGGGTCGATGCGAAGGATCCTGCAAGGTCCTGCAGGACCCTGCACCCAAGCCCGGGTCAATGCGACCCGGGCCCTGCAGGATCCTACAAGACCCGGCAATCTGACCGACCCCCGTTTGCGTTGACCCCCGTCTCAAGGCCTCCGAGGCTTTGGACGCCCGAAATGGGTACGAAAAAAAATGGGTACAATGCCCAACAACAAGTGCTGTCCCAAACCAACAGCGGCCGCTGTTGGGCAGGCGGCCTTCTGCCTCGAGTGGACACAGGCCGCGGCGGCGCGGACAGCGAGTCTGGTCCAAAATGAGCAGGAACTGCTGCTTGGCATTGCACCCATTTTGGGCGCCCGAGTTATCCGGGGTAACTCGGGTCCCGGGGAACTCGGGTTTGGATTCCCGAAAAAGGAACCCAAGTCAGCCCTGACCCGAGTTACCCCTGATGATGTGAGGCTCTGCAGACGCCCGAATTAGCCGGGGTAACTCGGGCCCAGGGTAACTCGGGTTCGGATTCCCGGAAAACGAGCCCGAGTTGACCCTGACCCGAGTTGCCCCTAATGATTCGGGGCTCTGACCATTCTTTCCTTTCCCACTTCGTTCGTGCAAATCCCCCATATTTTCTCATATTTTCTGGGTTTTTGTCTTCCCCCCCACTTCCTATATTTTTGCATATTTTCCTGGGAGTCGACGATGAACTGTGCCTGTGTGTTCCTTTCCCTCCCGAAATCCAGGCTCCCGAGGCGGCAGTCGCCTCCCCCGGCCTGGCCGGGAGGGCGCGGACGGGCCCCGTGCTGCCGCAGAGAGCGCGGCCGCTGGGCAGCGATCGATGGGGGGGGGGCCTCTCCGGGCGACGCCGGGCCTCGGCCACGGGGGAGGTTCCCGGAGGAGGAGGAGGAGGAGGAGGAGGAGGAGGAGGAGGAGGAGGAGGAGGAGGAGGAGGAGGAGGAGGAGGAGGAGGAGGAGGAGGAGGGGGGGGCCCAGGCCTGCGGTCGAGGCGCGGGAAAGAAGGAGCCGCTTGGGGAGCGGAAGTGAAGGGGCCCTGGGACACACCCATAGATACACACAAGCAAAACGGTTCCCCATATTTTTTCCCATATTTTCGGGGTTTCCGTCTTCCCCCCACTTCCACTATTTTCCAATATTTTCTGGGGAATCGAAGATTAATTGTGTCTGTGTGTTTCTTTTCCTCCTGAGTTTGGGGAGCGGAAGGGGCGCGGTGTTCCCGAGGCTCCTCCACTGCGGTTCCTCCAGCCCTCCTCGGGCACGAAGGCGGTCCGGGCGCCTAGAACTACAAGCCTGGGAACAAATTAGCGAACACATGCCACATTCATCCGTCAAGGCCTCCCCCTCCCCCCAATGTTCAAAGTTGGCGGTGGGTCTGATGAGATGCACTTCGGCCGCAGTCTCCTTTGCGCGTGCCAACATTGAGTTTGGGGGGGAGGGGGAGTGTTCAGTAATTGTTTCCCTCTACCGTAGGTCGGGCATGTCCTCCTACAGGCACATTCTGGGAAAAAGTGCAAAGAGTCAACGCATCGTCAGAGAGAGGCAGATGGGCAGGATGGCGGTATGGGGGCCTGACGAGGGATGCGCTCGACATTTGCGTTCCTTCTTGCAGCGGCCCGGCTGTGAGGAACGACGGCCCGGCGACCAAGGCCCCTCCTGAGCCCGAAGTGCTCGGGATTCCACCGTCCTGAATGTGCAGGTCGGTCGGAAGGAAACAGGTGAAAGCATGAAGCAGGAAGGCGGATGAAGAAGGAGCTCGACCACAGGAGACCTTCCACAAGAGCCCCAACGCTCAGATCCCGGGACGCTCATTGATTTCTGGTGTGGGAACGTCACGCTTTCCATGGCACAACCATCGAAACCCGGGGCACCCTGGAGGCAAGCACGGTGTTTCTTGGCATGGGTTTCCGCTCTAAAGTAGATGGTGTCCAGGCCCTCCCAGACAATCACAAAACACAGCAAGAGCACATTGATTCTTGAAGTGGGACGGCGCCAGAAGTAGATTGGGGACCTGGGCATCCAGAAATACATGCTTTCAACGACCGACGGGTACACCGGTCCTGGGCCAAGGATGGGCGCGGCCAGGGCGGGTGGGGTGCGGTTAGAGGCCTCCCAAGTGGGGTCCCAGTAGATGGGGTCGGAGGATCGCTCCGACTCCCCCCCAAAGCGGCGCACCAGAGGCCGCCCTGGCGAAGGGGCCACCCTCACCCTGACACAGCCACCGCTCTGATGCTGTTGCGTCCGAGGCTCCCGAAGCCCCGACCCCTCCCCCGGGGGTAGCTTTTCGCCCCGGCCCCGCTTCTGAGGGCCCCAATGGGCCCGAGAACGGGCCCCGGGAGCCAAACTCGAGGGCAAACGCCAGATTTGAAGACAGCACGCCCTGCGATCTCCGCCCCGGCCCCGCTGCTGAGGGCCCCTCCCAGGAGCCCGAGCTCGAAGGCCAGCGCCAGGCTCCAAAAACGCCTGCGCCCTCCGATGTCCCTCCCGGCTCCGCTGCCCGGGGCCGGGCCCCGGGAGCCGAGCTCGAGAGGGCGAGCGCCAGGCTCGAGGCACGCCGCTCCGAGCTCTCTGGGCCCCGCCGCCCCGGAGGCGCCTGCCCGGCGGGCGGAGCAGGGCCGCGTAGTGCCGGAAGAGGTGCGGCGGCGCGCGAGAGGGGGGGGGGGGAGCGGGCAAGGGGCGGGCCTGCTCGGAGGGCTCGGAAGTCCCCCAGCCTCCCGAGGAGTTCTCTGAGCCTTCCCCGAGGGCAGAGAGAAGAGCAAGCCCTCAGGGGGCGCGGGGGCTCCTGAGTCGTCCCGCCGCCTTCTGCGAAGAAGGCCCTCTCCTTCTCACTTCCCTGGGGGGAAGACAAACCTACCTCGCTGTTGACCACCCTCGCTTCCAAGAGATACCAAACGATGCCAAACTGCAGCCTGCACTGGTCAGGCCACTGGACGAGGAGGCGCGTGGTATGGCTTGGTTTTTGCATGGAAGCGAAAGCGGGGTACTCCAGATTTCGTAAGAAAAGGGAGGGGGTCTGGACCCTCCAAGACAAGCCACTTCAGACCCCCCCCCCTGGGAGAACCCTCCAGAACACCGTCCCCAGACCCCCCCGGGCCCTCCAAGATAGCTTGGAAAAGACCCCCCCCGAAATGAGACCCCCTCCCTTTATTACGAAATCTGGAGTAGGTAATGCACGCTCTGATTCCCCCCCCCCGCGCTCGCCGCCGCGAGGTGCGACCCCGAGCACTCCCGCCGGCACCGCGGCGGCCCCCGCGCCGCCGCGCACGCCCCGCAGGCCGGCGGCAGCAGCCCCGTGGCGTTGGGCACCCCGAGCAGGCAGGTGCCCACGCCCTGCACACACACTGGAGGTCTCCCAGATGGGGTCGGAGTAGATGGGGTCGGAGGATCACACCGCATCGCCAACGCATCACCGGTGTATCGGCGATGCATCGGCGATGCATCGGCGACGTCGGCGACGCGTCCGCGACGTCGGCGCGGGAAAATCGGGTTCCACATCGAGTCGACTCGTCGATGCATCGGCGATGCGGTGCGATCCTCCGACCCCATCTACTCCGACCCCATCTAGGAGGCTTAGACACACGCCGGTCGGAGGAGGCGGGCAAAGCCATGGAGTGCGCCCCCGTGCAGAAAGCAGCTGGCGTCTTTCTGCACACCTCCCCCCGCCAACCCCCCAATTTCAATAGGAGGGAAACAAACCTACCTCGCTTTTGACCACCCTCGCTTCCAAGAGATACCAGGCGATGCCAAACTACGGCCTGTACTGGTCAGGCCGCTTGACGAGGAGGCGCGTGGTATGGCTTGGTTTTGCCTGGAAGCGAAAGCGGGGTAGGTAATTCACGCTCTGATTCAGTGTTCAATGCGGTGCCGATATGTTTGTCTCGAACTTCGCCGGTCGCGCGATCAACAGTGAAATGGGGGGCCGGAGGGGCTCACCAAGCACCAGTTGCGTTTCGCGCGGGGCTGGAGGTTCCTCCGGTGCTGGTCCTCTCCAGCCCTCCCCGGGCACGAGGAGGAGGAGGAGGAGGAGGAGGAGGAGGAGGAGGAGGAGGAGGAGGAGGAGGAGGAGGAGGAGGAGGGGGAGGAGGAGGAGGAGGAGGAGGAGGAGGAGGAGGAGGAGGAGGAGGAGGAGGAGGAGGAGGTGAAGGTAGGAAGAGGGCCTCGTTGCTGATGTGGCGTTCCTGCTCGCAGCGGCCCGACCGCGAGGAGGCGACGGCCCGCAGACGGGGGCCCCTCCCGAGCGCGAGGTGCTCGGGGTGCCACCGTCTTGACGGCACACGTCGGTCGGCAGGAAGCCGGTGAAAACAGGAGGCAGGCAGGCAGGAAGCCAGTAGAAACAGGAGGTAAAAGCAGGAGCTCGGCCACAAGAAACCCTCCGCCAGAGACCCAGCCCTGGGACCCCAGGGCGTCCCTCGGTTTTTGGCGCGGGAACGCCGTGCTCCCTCCACGGCAAAACCATCGAAGCCCAGGAAGCCCAGGGCACCCTGGAGGCAAGCAGGGTGTTTCTTGGCATGGGCTTCCACTGTAGGTAACATCATAGAGTGGGAAGGCGGATAAACTAGATTGGGTTCAGGCCGTCCCAGAGAATCTCAAGACACAGTAAAAGAACACCGATTCTCGAAGTACGAAGGCGCTTGAACTAGACTGGGATCTGGGAATCCACAGAAAATACCTACTTTCAACGACCGGCGTGTATGAGCGACGATCAAAAAAGGGTCTTACGCGAGATGGCACAGCGACCTTGCGCGGCGGCTTGCGCGAGCCGCCAGCGCGAAACGCTTTGTTGGAGACGAAGGCGCTTCCACGCGAGCATGCGCGGGCAACTCACGCGCAAATGTCGGCGCAGACGACACCGTTTTTTGGTGTCGCTCACATGGCGGCAAGATCTGCACGTCTCCACACCGCCGCTGGCGCCGCTAGCCAACCACATGCTGGGCCCGGGAAGAGCGGTGCACGCGCCTCCCCGCAGGGCCAAGCCAGGGGTGCATGCACAGCTCCTGGGCCCCGCATGGGCCTGGCCAGCGGCGGCGGATGTGTGTGGATCCCGTCGCCGCACCTCCAGGCCCGCCGGGCCGGCGTCCAGCACGTCCTGGTACACCGGGTCCCACGCGTGGAACACGCTCCACAAGCCTGGGCCAGTCGGAGGCACCGACAAGCAGAGCCCCCAGGCGCAGTGGAACAAACACACGGACGGACGGCGGTTTGCTATGTTCTGCCTCTGGGGCCCTCGCTGGGCCTGGAAACCGCCCAAAAACAGTAAAATGATGACAACGTCTGGGGTCTGGGGACGGAGCTTGTCCAGCCCCCCCCACACCGTTTCGTCTGAGGCAGCTCAAGGCGAGCGCTTCGGGTTTCATGCACATGCGACTGTGAACTGAAATGCGCGTGCTATCACATCAGACAGGCATCATGCAAAACCTCCTAAAGCGGAGCACTGGCTGCTCAACCTCCTCCCTCTTCTCCTCCTCCTCCTCCTCCTCCTCCTTCTCCTCCTCCGTCTCCGCCTCCTCCTCCTCCTCCTCCTCCTCCTCCTCCTCCTCCTCCTCCCTCCTCCCCCTCCTCCCTCCTCCCTCCTCCCTCCTCCCTCCTCCCTCCTCCCTCCTCCCTCGGATCTGACGGTTGAGCCCGAGAGAGCCACTTTGGAGCTGGACGACGGTCTGTCGGACGGCGAATCCGATGCCGAGTATGATTTAGTTTCTCAGTCCTTTTTCGGTGACACGGCTGACGCCGTTAGCTCCGCCCCCGCTGGAAGCTGCAGTAGTGACTCTGCGCGCGAGCCCAGTGGCCAGGCTGGCAATATCGTGCTGGAAAAAGATGTATTGGGGACGTATAAGGGGGACCCAGCCTCTGAACCCCCCCCCTCGGCAACCCTTAATTCAGCAGACCTTCCCTCTTTCCCCATCCCCTCCGAACTCTGGCAGTCGTGCAGAAGGCAAGTTGGGTTCATGCACTCTGATGAGCAGGACGTATGGCCGATTGTTCGTAATTCTGCCGCTTACGCTGTAGGGGGTCAACATGTGTGCCAATTGGGAGCCATGTACGGATCTTGGGCGTCTACGGTTGAGCATGCTATTTCACAACATCATGGGGTTCAACTCGCTGCAGGTACCACGAGGTCTAAGGGGCCCTTCTTTCGGGAGGTGGAGATGAAGGCCCCCGATAAGGCTCGTGATTAACCACTGCACGACGTCGTCGCCAGCTGGTGGGGACGCCTTGCTACGGTCTTGGGCTCCATTAGCAAGCACAGGTCTAGGCAGAACGGTGCAGTACAGCAAGCGCAGCTCATTCAGGCGTGCACAGCCCTCGCTGGGGATCAACCTGCAGGGGTGCACGTTCCTCTTGAGCGTACCAGGTCGGTCAATGAAGAAGGGGGACTCTCTACATGGTCGGCATGGCAGGCCAAGCTTTTTCGAGTGGCCACTCTTTCTGATACAGCTGTTGAGCGACTAGCTCACGCAGCCAAGCGAGTCTCAGGTCGAGCACGACGGCGAGCTCTATATTCTTCTTTGCGTGATTTTCGAGAGTGGATCACTACCTCGGAGGCTCCTGGGATCTTGCACAAATCCATCAAGAAACTTCCCCCTGTCCCCGATGAAATCCAGGTCGACGGGAAAACGCGTTTTCACCCTCGGGATATTGTGGACCATAAAACCAAGCACTGGCACGAGCTCTGGAGCCCGAAGCCTTTGCCACTGTCTGACGTCACGGCTCTCTTCCAGGATATCCGAGAGGCAGCAGCTGTGGAGCAGCTCGAGCCCTTGTCTGCCGAGCGCGTCCAGCGCGCCTTGCACTCCATGAAGGCCAAGGCAGGACTCGGGGTGGACAACCTCAGTCCCACGGATATGGAACGTCTTCCCCCAGAGGGAATCCAGGAGCTCGTTTCGGTTTTCGGGGCGTGCGAGGAATGCCTCTCCTGGCCCTGGCAAATCCTGCTCGTCATTGGGCGTCTCCTGGGGAAAAAGAATGGGGGTGACAGGGTCATTGGGCTCATGTCTATGTTTTCCAGGACTTGGTCTCTTGCCCGAGAGGATGAGGTTAGGAGCTGGTCTAAGGATTCGGAGCCTGCCTGGGATGCCGCCATCTCGGGCAACTCCGCGCTCCGTGAAGTGTTTTTGCGCGCTCTTCACGATGAAGGGCTTGCTCGGCTTGGCATCGCCTTCGGAGAGGGCCTCTTGGACATCAAGGGATTCTACGATGCTATGGGGTGGATTCCACTGGCTAGGTCTGCTCTCAAGATGGGGTTCCCTCCGGTGGTCCTCGCCTTGGAGCTCCAGATGTGCTTGGCCCCATCGAGTCCTTTCGCAACTTGGGTCGTTCTCGGCAGCGTTCCAACCGTGGCAGAGTATCATCCAAGGTCTCCGCAGTGGTACTAGATTCGGGAGGTGTATGGTTTACTACATACTGATGCGTTTGACTACCACACATGTCAACATGTCATACCGTATTTGGGTCGACGACTTGACACAGCACACGGCTGGCACGCGCAAGCTGGTTCGGAATAGGCTGTTTCACAGCGTGCTCGACACTTGCTACACGCTTCAGGAGCACGGCCTCCAGATTGCTAGCAAGAGCGTGATATTGTGTTCCAATGCAGCTGATGGCAAAGAGGTTGTGCGTCAGCTTCGCAGGAAAGGTTCCGTTTTGCAACACGCCCTTCAAGCCGTTCATCTTGGGGTCGACTTGGGCGCGGGGAGGCCCGCAAGGGCCATGCGTCGCCAGAGGGTCGTCAAAGCCAAGAACATGAATATGAAGGTTCGGAAGTTCGCTCGGTCGTCCAGGAAATATCGTACCACGGGGCTCATCGAGAGGACTGGGTCTCAAGCGGCTGGCACGTACGGGCATCAGATCACTGGTGCATTTGGGGAGTTTCGATTACAATGTCGTCGGCGATTAGGTTGTACGCTGGCTTCTTCTAAGCGGGGGCGATGCCTCACTACGTTGCTGGATCTTCGTGCCGAGCGGCACGATCCAGAGTGCAAGTTGCCTCGTGATGGGCAGCAACTTTGGTTGAAGACGTGGCTGGCCGAGCCCAGCATTCGTGGCCCCGTTCGTGCCGCATGCATGGCCTGGGCTTGTGCGACAGCTGCGGGAACTTGCACCGCAGCAGGTTTCACGACACGTTCGAGGCCCTATCTCGTCCATCATCACATATCTTCTGGAGTTTGGATGGGACCCTGTCTCCCCCTCTGAGTGGCACACACACCAGCTAAACGTGATGATGCAGGTGCTATCTGGTCCTTCCCAGATGAACTAGTTACCAGCTCGGAGGACATTAGTGGTTTGCTCACTGAGTTTGAGGGGAGTATTCGCGCCCAGCTTTGGGAAAACAACATCCAAGCATTTTTGCGGCGAAGGCTTACAAGACGGGGTCGACAACGAATCGCTTAGACAGTTGTTGAAAGTTCTTGGTGGAGTTCCGCATGGGACCAAGCTCTCGGAGACCCTCCTGTGCGTGGCTATCGGGGGGACATGGCCTTTATCCAGGGTGAAGGACGAGACGGGTGCCATCAGTGACGATACGTGCCCCAGGTGTGGCCAGGGTAGTGAAACACCACTCCACAGGGGGTGGGCGTGCCCTAGCAATTCTGGACACAAAATCTACACTGAGTCGGACCACTTGATCCCCAAGGCCCAGTCGGGCCAGGATTCTGAACCGTGTTTTTGGTTTCGAGGTCTCATTCCGAGTTCTTGGACCCAGGTGCCAGCCCCCAACGCCGATGAGGCCTGGGAGTTTTTCTCAGTGTTAGGTGCGCCGTTCGACGAGCACGCGCTCGGAGACGGCCACGCAGGTGAACCTCTTGTGGTGTTTGGAGACGCCAGCGGAGGAGCAGATTCTCGCGACCGACGGCTACGGCGTGTCGGAGTGTCAGCAGTGGTTATCAGCAACTACGAGGGGCCCCAAGTTGGGTCTGCCATATTTGGTCCCCTACCTGGGGGTACTCAGTCTGTACCAAGGGGCGAGATCTGGGGTCTACTGCTGGCGCTCAGGCACTCTCGAGGGCCCTTGGTGTATGTTACTGACAACAGTGGAGTCGCTGACGGGTGGTTTCAGGGATTCTGGAAGGTTCCTCAAGGAGCCAATGCGGAGATCTGGAAGCTCGTGGGCCAGGAAATGCAGTTGCGCGACCAGTCGCAGGTTTGTGTCATACAAGTACCATCCCACATTGAAGCCGATCAGATCCCAGGCTCGGTCTTCCCTGAATTTTTGGTTCTTGGAAATCACATCGCAGAAGAGTTCGCCAGCATTGCTGCGAAAAAATATCGGCTATCACCAGAGATACGGTCACGGGTCATGAGAACGGAGGTTGACGCCAGTTTAGTTCGTCGGAGGCTGCTTCGGTCTACGCTCGAGGCGATGTCAGCACGCCAGGGCCCCAGCCGCACCTGTACGACAAGGCCACCTCCCCCTCCTGCTCCCTCCTCCATTGCACTGTTTGCCCCCCAGTATTGTCTCGACAGCAAAAGCACGCGTTGTTTGCGGTGTCGAGGTCAGTCGTCTCAGGAGGCCCTCACTGCTTGGTTAAGGTCTTCGTGTTTCGAGTTGATTGCCGTAGGGTCGGATAAGTTTCAGTTGCCGGAGGGGGAAACAGGTTCATATAGGGGGAGGCTGGGTTCACCCGTCCCATCAGCTTGTGTACGCCCCTGCCCATCGAATATGGATTTGCAGTACCTGTGGCTTCTTCGGAGGTGAGAAGCTCAGCAGTAGTCTCGCTGAGCCGTGTTCCAAGCCCCTCACCACGGCTCAGAGACGATACCTCACCAATTTCGAACTTGGGAGGTATCCCAAGGATCAGGTTTCGAAGGTTTCGAACCGAGCGAAGGCCTCGTAGTTCGTTTCCCTTCCTTTCATATCGCACCGCGATGGAGCCCATTCCATTACATTCCCTCCCTCCCTCCTCCATATCCTCCTCCTCCTCATCATCATCATCATCCTGTTATGTTTATGCTTCTTGTTCTGCTTATTAGTATCAATAGTAGTCGTCTTACTACTACGATTATCAATAATATTGTCGGTCTTACTTCGTGTAACGCATGTGATCGCTAGTAATAGTAGTATCACTAACAATAATACGAATAAGAAGAATAATGAGAAGAGTATTAATAATAATAACAATAATAAAACTACGAAT